GTCTTACAACTCATACTGTGCTCACTCATATCATTCTTGGCTCATAGTGACAAGCATTTATCGTCTGAATTCCAACATCCCACAGATCACAGAGCACAACTACCAACAACTGGCATTGCGCGAGATATTGTGTAGTGTAGTTCAATTCTCTCAGGATTAGGCGATATGAGTGGATGGGGCATGCACTTGACAGTGCTAATTGTATATTCGAGTGGGCGTTAAGAACAATAGAGGATGTGCTAGGCAATTTGGCTGGGGGGATGCTACAAGTCGAATATTGTAAAGGGAAGGGGGGATACTTAAGGGCTGTGGAGGTGTAGGGGTTGCAGTCGCTGCTATCCTGGCGATCTTCATACACTATAAGCTAGTCATGATGTCGTGAATGGTGGCTCTAACCTCGTAGAATGGTGGTTGTGTGCTTTCACATGTAGATAAGCTAAAAGCACAATCGTTGTGGAGGGGACAGGAGGCTGTGGGGGGGTTATAAGCGATGTAGGGGTTGCAATCGATACAGCTGTAGCGATTTACAGGCACTATGAGCAAGTCGCACAAAGTGGCTGAAACCTGTACTTTTAGGTGTGGATTCACCGCCACTCTGACCCAAATAAGTACCTCCAAAGCACAGCGAACAGCCACGAAGGAGCAGCATGGCCTCCGCGCAAACTTCGCTGCAATTTTTGATTTCCAGGTATAATTGGTTTTGATTGGATACGGGGATTTATTTATAGCCAATCACAGTCTTCCAATATGTTATTTAGGGTATTTTGAGGATTCCTCAGGCGCTGTGCGACAATTCTCCGGATATTGTCCAAGAGGTACAGTACAGTACTGATCAGTGTGCTTTTGAAAGGTCACCCTAACCACTCTCACTACTTGACTTTTTCGACAGGCTTTTTGGCCAAAATATGCTGTCGATTTTTGCAGCCTGGTATAAACAAATACCCTGTGTGATCCCATCGAATATTTAATTTAACAGGCTTCTAGTATTGAATAAATAATACTAGTACTGGGAGATAGTAGGAACTCAAATGCGGTTAGTACCAAGTCATATCACGATAACATTAGCGTTGTCCATTTGCCATACGAATCCTTGCAAAGTGGTAAACTCTACATACACGACGGCATGGCTGTCGGTACAAATTTGAGCACTGCATAACAAGCTAGGACGTTGTTCGATGTTTGTACAGTACTTACTGTAATACTGAGAGTGTACTTGCTTTGAGAAATTGGGCGACCATATTTCACAAAACATGTACGGTATTCGGATGTTTACGATTGGTTTATGCTCATCAAATGTGAATAATCGCCTTATCTAGTGTGAAGGTATACCCCTCCAAGACTTCATATACCCCTTTCATATAAGAACCTCCGTAAAGCTATATGTGGTCGGGGCTGCAAATATCGGGGGATGACTGTGTACGGGCCTTTTGAGACCATATGGCAGGTTCATTCGTTGCTACCACTACTTTTCCGGCTGATTTTATTGACCAACAGATTGTCGCATTGGATTATTCACCGTGGTTTGATTGGTCCAAATCCGTCCAGTGTGGTCAATTTTTGAAAAACCTATGCACCATTATATAGAGACTTCCTTATATTTGATTACAAGAATGACTTTGGGCGGTCGTAAGCCGCCTATGAAATGTCTCCCTCTCTACTTCTTGAGGCTGTGGGTCAAGAGTTCGTCGAGGAGGACGTTGAGGTCCCCGATCATAACGCGTCCGTCCTCGACGAGGCCGGCCGACAAGCATGCATTGATATGGACCTGCGCCGCGATCTTGGCCGCCAATGGTTCGTTGGTCGTGCGCAGCTGGTGGAGTTTCACCACGATTGGGTGGCGCGGGTTGATTTGCAGCACATGCTTGGACGAAGTTGGAAGGCCGCCGCCGCCTTGGCTTTGGTTGACCATTTGCATCATGCTAGTCGATTGTTAGAGATATTTGGAAGAGATTGCTTGCTTTACCGACGGACGGATGCCGACTCGTGGTCTGTAACGACCGCCGGCGAGTCGTGCAGGCGGTTGGTCACTTCGACTTTGGTCACGCTGGCTTCTAGCTGAAGACTGAGCCACGCCGTGAGGAGGTTGGCGTCAGCCTCGGTCAATTTGTCGGTTGTGTCGTGGTCCTACGACCGAATATATATCATTGTAAAAAATATATTCTATATACACGACAACGCACATGAAATCCAACGCAACATATTGTTGGTTCAAAAAAATACCCACTCATGTGTAAGGTTATCTGCTTCCTCGAACAGGACACCCACACTATATATAAATAAATACTTATATAAATATATATATATATACCACGTACCTCTTGCACGTCCAACTTGGCGGCTTCGGCCGACACGACCTTGCGCGTGTTGAATTCGCCGACGCTGTTCATGACGAAATCGTCCATGGAGTGGTACACGAGCAGCACTTCCTTCTTGGTCTTCCTACCATCATCATCCACACAGAGTCAGTTCATTGTCACCAATGTCGTCACCAATGTCGTCACCACGTACTTGAACGCTTCATAGTAGGGCGACTGGAACGCGAGTTCGCGGGATGGGGCACAGAGGTAATAGATTTCGTTTTGATCGGGCGGCGCGCGGGATACGTACTCGTCCAGCGACGTGGTTTTTCCTTGGTCCAACGCCGACGATTCATATCGAAGCAGTTTGCTCAAGCCAGCCTACACACACCCATATATATATATGCGACAGCGTTTTTAGCAAACGGCCAAACGGAGTCCATATATATATATACATTGTTTATTTTTATTTATAGTTGTTGGTGGTGTGGTCAATAAATTAATACATAATACTTTTTTAATGAGTAAAGGTTCACGGGGGTTTTCCGTCTAACTATAGAAAATCCGAAAAAAATTTTAATAGAAAAATTATAATATCATTTGAGATGTAATTGGATGTGTAGAAATCATGCTACCATAATTGTACAGTTGATTCGAAATAATAGTTGGAGATTGGTGGTCAATTGAAGGAGGTAGCAGACAATCGATATTACGACCAATCAAAACCTAGATCATGAATCGAGTGGCCAATCAAAATGATCGCTTTGAGCCCACTTCGACATTGAATTAGTATGGGATTGAAATTCAATACAAACAATCGATCGATCGATAGATATTTGGCGAATCAGCACAAACGTCCATATTATTTGGGGTCCAAGGACAATACCACCAACCAAGACATCCGTATCCATCGTTAAGAAACAACCCAACAGCCCAACCACATATATTTAACCGTACGACAAAAAGTCTGGCCTGGTTCAGATTCATATATTGGAGAATAACCAAATGTACATGGGCAGAAGCATGTAGCCAATCCGATTGCAGGAAACCATCATCACCTCGAAATAGTGTGTGAATTTAATTAGTGTGATACCAATCACCACCACACGCCCCTTTTTACATGCAACATTGCAACCAAGAATCGATCGATAGAGTTGGCCAAAACCAGCACAAAAGTCGACCAAATTCTTTGGGGTAAAAAAGGACACTATATCCGTTTCAAGCCAAACCCCCCATATACCCCACATCAAACGCCATAACGATACTTATCACATTATACACTGGACAGTACCTTGTTTTGAAAGTCCATGCACACGCCTTCCTTGATAAACTGGCCAAATTCGGCGAAAAATTGATCAAATTTTTCGGGATCTTTGCGCGCTTGTTCGTCGAGAAACTTGAGGATACGCCGCGTGAGCACGTCCTTCATCTTGGCCAAGAGACGCGAGTCCTGCATCTTTTCGCGGCTCAAACTCAGCGGCAGGTCCTCGCTGTCCACCACGCCCCGCACGAAGCGCATCCAATCGGGCAAAATATCGGGCGAGTGGCGCTCGATGAGTACCTTGCGCGAGTACAAGCTCACCTACAATAATATGTATATAATAGCCTCACATGATATTGTTGGCCGTAGAGCAAAAGCCAGCAGCGCTTTCAACCAACCAAACAACAGTCACATGCTCCAACGACTAGTATATATGGAGATTCGAAATTGGAGAGTTTGGGGGTGCTCAATCGAATGACCAGAATACCCAATCAAAACCCAGATCACGAATCCATTGGCCAATCAAATTCACCCTTCGACCAATTCAACATCGAATTCGTGTATGACATAAATTAGTGTAACACTGGACCATTTTGACATACAACATTCAGTACAAAGAATCGATGGATAGATGAGGCGTTGAATCAGCACAAAAATCCAAAATTTGGATATATATATATATATAAACATACCCCAGGTTCGAGGCGAGCGTAGCCAAACTTTTCAGTGTGGGAGGACCCAATAAAGAAGAGGGTTTTGAGCTCGAGCGGGGCGTCCGCCTTGAAGTGGAGGCGGTACAGCGGGTCGTCGTACGCGTTGGCGATAAACTTGTAAAAGTCCGTGTACTGGTCATCACTCACATCCCGGGTATCTTTGGTCCACAGCGCCTGGACGACGTTCACTTCGGTGCCGTTCAAGAGAATCGGAAACGCTACAAAGTTGGAGTACTTTTTGATGATCGACTCGACGCGGTCGGGTTTGGCATAGTCTTTGCACGCTTCCTTCATGTGCATGACGATCTTGGACCCGCGACCGGCGTCCGCCACTGCGCGCACTTCAAACGTTCCCGAGCTATATATATATATATATATATATATATATATATTAACAGGAGTATGCATGGTGAAACGATGACATATTGTGCAAGAATTGGCCACTTGTTTGGGGAGTACATCAAGCAAAGCAGGATGATTGGATAAAATGAAACAAAACGTGCCACGTGATTGGCTCCAACGAACAACAACAGGCACACGATAAACCTTGTACAATTTGATAATATTATGTTTTGCAGGTCCAACCAGGGGAGATTGAAAGGGTATGACGTTGTCACAGACGCCAATCATGATGACGTCAACAAACACAATGGACGGTCGAGATGCTTGTGTATATATTCAAAATTGGAGCAATATGGAGAATGAATCAACCCAATCAAATCCATGTACAGAAGAATCATTCGAATATAGCCAATCAGATTGCAGGAAATCAAATGTGTGACTTGAATTAGTGCCAATCAGATTGCAGGAAATCAACAGTTCACGCTAATTAATGTGTGACTTGTGTAATGGGCATTTCCGCTGCCCTTTTTCACATACAAAGATCCGTACAAAAAGACGATTGATGGACTTCAAAAATCCAAATTTTGACTGATACGACAATATATATATATATATCCAACCAAAACAATCAGACAACACACAAGGTCATATGTCAAGCTCACGAAGCACGGACGTGCATGCGTACCCGTCCGAGGACCAGACGTGGCCCGAGCCGTCACCGAGGGCCGACGCCGAATACACTTCGACCTTGTCGGCCACCATGAAAGCCGAATAGAACCCGACGCCAAACTTGCCGATGATGCCCGTGGCCGCCGCCGTCGTTTCCGTGGGGGCCTATCGTCCAACATGAGCATGTGCATGTATGTTCGTGTCCTGTACCTCCGTCTTCAACTGCTCCAGAAATGCCTTGGACCCCGAGCGCGCAATCGTGCCGAGGTTCGCCACGAGCTCTTCCTTGGTCATGCCCACACCCGTGTCCTCGATCGTCAACGTGTTGGCCGCGACGTCGGTCGTGATGACAATCTTGGGCTCGACTTCAGGGGTCAACAAGGTCGCGCCTACCGCCTACGTGTAGCAAGAAGCGTGTCATGGAATGAAAAGAGTGTCAGCGTGAGCATGCATGTATGTACCTGATGGTGGCGGAACTTTTCCAGGGCATCCGACGCGTTGGAAATCAACTCGCGGACAAACACTTCCTTGTCCGTGTAGATCGAGTGCGTGACAATGTCGAGCAATTGGCGCGTTTCCGCTTGGAACTCGTGGCGATCCGCTAGAGGTTGGTGATGCAATGGAATCAACGCCGTGATCGTATATGGTTAGGAGCATGTTGCACTGAGGAATATGTACCTGGGGTCGAGTCGGCCGTCGAGAACGCACGGATCATGGACGGCATCATGACGTTGCGTGGCGCCGACACGTTGAACGAGGTGAGAGCACGGAAGGCGGCATGTTGCGGGCGGGGAAGGGCTGACTTGACGGCCACGGACGCGACCGCGCGACGAAGCGACAGGCGAAGCATGTTCAAATTCAAATGGCTTGGATGGTGGTGAAAAAGCACATCCATGCATGGCGTTCTAGAAAGGGAGCAAGGCATTCGATTGGTGAATATTCATTTCATAATGCCTTCTAATTGGTCCATTTTTGATTTGTGATTTGCATATTCGGAGATCTCGATCGTTGGCATCAAGAAGCAAGCTACAATAGATGGTGTACAATAGATGGTGGCATACTGAGTGGTGATACCTCGTCGTCTGAATCATAAACCCAAGGTCATTCTCAGGGGCCGCGCACATGTACGTCATTCATCTCCGTCGACTACTGTGGCACAACGTGGTTGCGTGACAACTTGAGGGCAGGCGGCGACGTTGTGGTCGACATCAGGAATGCTGAACAGGACTCACACCCTCGCTATCTCTACGCCCGATTACACCTACATATTGCAGCTAGATGTACATATCATGACTGACTCTGGGCCGTCTGAACCCAAACACACTTGAGAGTCTCATGTCATCGCAAGTGCCACAGAACTATACTGAACGTGTCCCTGTCGTACTTCGTTCTGCATCACACCATGTCAAGTAGTCGCACTCGGCCATCTCGTCCGTGCGAGATCGAGGGGCTTGTAACAACGGTTCTTTGGTGCGTGTAACTGTTTCCGCTGCCAATCCCATGGCTTGCTCTCGGAACGGGGTAACATTCCCATCTCTCTGCGGCAACCGTCCCAGTTACGTCACACCGTCCACAGGACATCATGCCTAGGTCGGTCGAGTCCACAAATCAATTTCCGTTGCCATGGACAATCAACTGTTCCACAACGTTGCTACCGCCATATCTAGCCATCACCATCCCATGCTGCTGCCCAAGTTGGACGCCATGACGCTGCATGCGTCCCCATCCTCGAACGACTTTGCCTGCCTCTACAAAACCAACAAATGCCGCAACCTCCGCGGCGTTAAGAGGGACGGCACGCTCCACCGGCTGTGTAACGACCATCGGGAAAAAGCCAATGAATCCCAACGCAAGAGCGAGACCAAAAAACGCACCAAGCAAACGTCCAGTCAGGGAGCTTTCAATACTCATCACCTTCCCCAGTACAATCCTTCCTACTCTAGCTACAATTGGGACAAATCCCAATCGTACCAGAATGATGCTCTTCCATCCATGTTGCACCACCACTGGGACAATACCAGTGACAGCACGAGCAGTAGCCACAGCACCAGCCCGTCGTCGTCATTATCCGATGTTCATGTGGAAGGCAGCTCAAGGCGGATGACGTTGGATTACATCTTGGCCAGTCACACCACCGACTACGACGACGACTCGGGGAGCTGCTGCAGCTTGGACGACAATAAGTTACTTGGCTGCGACTGAACAACTGGGAGCGGTAGTGGTCCTATAGCTAGCTAGCTAGCTAGCTATACCTGTAGCTGGCTCCACGACGATGGCTAGCGTCCCATACACATCCCGTTGATTCGACCGTAATCTTAAATCGAAACGTATTCATCGACATCGCGCACCAGGAAAGCGGTATGGACAGTTGAACGTGGTGACATTTCCACAACGTCGTGTTGGTGTTGACAGTACATACTAAGTTACTCGGAATAACCAGATGCTCGAGTTTCGTATGGCACTACAATCAATGGATCGATCGAAGATGGGGATAGCCAATGAAGGCAGCATTGCACGTTATGAAAACTATTAATAGTATGCATAACGTGACCAATCAGTGATCCGCCAACTGACCAGTGATCCGCCAAAACAAATTATCCAATAACATGGTTTCTCGAATTGTATTGGACAAAACAAAACCTCTTATGGAGGCAAAGCACGAATTGTCCAACACTCCAACCTGTCAAAACTTCAAACCTTCATACATTTCTAAATCTAATATACCTTTATCATATTATATTTTCAGCTAAAGATTTTGGATTTTGTTATATTGAATTCAATACTCACTTCAAGTATATATTTTGGCGGATCACTGATCGACTGTGTAAATTGCTCAACTTTCTAAATTAATTGGAGAAACATGAACTGTCAGATCCGATCGGTTTTGAATCCTTGCGAAAGCACTTGAAATTGGCTATCAGAATGTGTGTCCATCTTTGTTCTAGCACAAATAGCCGCTGAGTAATTCAAGAAGGAAAAAATCCAAATTTTGGCGGATCACTGATCGGTCACGTTATGTCGAACGCTGTTCGTACGTCCACACAAGCATAACTATGGTTGGTGACTTGTATGTGATTCCTTGTCACCATCAAGTTTACACGACGTGGTGGTTGGCAGGCGACGCGTGGCTGGACCTGTCCCCATTTTCGTCAGTAACGTCGCCCTTGCTGCGCCGACCACAGCAGCAGCCACACACACACGACAACACTCCACATAGCACCATGACCAACCACGGCAGCAGCAACACTCCCACCTACAACCCCAGGACGCATGACCATCAAACCCCATATTGCCTCCTAAGTACTTACCACGATAAACCACGGTAGGAGCACATAGAACGACGAAAACTCGGCCGATTGCAGCCGGTACGCCAGGATGAAGAACGGTGACATGAACACCAGCGTCATTAACAGCACGCACAAGAGTCCGCCGAGCGACGCCTCGGACGCTCCGTCGTCATGATGATGGTCGTCCGCCTTCTTGTGGCGCAAGTACACCAAAATCTACTCGACGGTTGAGAGAAGGACACTCGATTGTAAATTGAATATAAAACTACGTTTGCCACAATGCATATTCTTTTCAGCCAATCGTAATGCGCCATTCTTTATTTTTAGCCAATCATCATGCTGCTTCTTTCAAACCAAACTTGCAAATGATTCGAATAGACTTGGCAAATCGATTTGTGAGATTGAACTAGCCAATCAAAATCCATTCTAAGACAAACGTTCTGAATCGTTCAGCCAATCATAATACGTTTTCTAAACAAAATAAACTCACGGTACTACCGGTATAGTGAATACAAGATATAATGTATGGAGGTGGTCGTTCGTTCGTTTGGTTTTCATGGTTCGTACATGCGGAACCACGAGCGTGGCAATGTAGATCCACACGGGAATGAATGTAATCCACCACGAAGTATCGATGGTATGGTCCAGCTTGAACGCTACGAGCACCCCAAACGACAGCCGCAACACACTCATGGCCCATGAGTTTGAGATTTCCAGCACCTACGCAGTAGTAGTTGTTGATTCACAACCACTTGCTAGATACATGGAAGAAGGAAGGAAGGCTGGGTGTGTGTACCAGGTTTGATCGAGACTGCCCGGAGCCCGCAGACGGATCGGCGGCAGTCGCGGCGGCAAACGCAGAGTACGACAACACGCCGGCGATGATCTTCTCGACGAGGTAGAAACCTTCGAGGACAAAGTACGGGGCGAAGACCAAGGGCATGGCCAGGTTGGGAAGCGCGCCTTGCAGCTTCATGGCCACGAGCAGTTGGAAACCGACAAAAAGCACCCCCTTGAGCAGCAGTAGCCTACACGAGATGCAACATGAGAACAAGAGCAACGGCGAGCGACGCACAGCTTGAGCAAGATGCGCACGGACGGCGACGGGCGGTCCTCGGCGTCTTGATGGATGTCGGGGGCTTGCTCGAAGAAGGAGCAGCCGACGCAACACAAATAGATCCCGTCGAGAATCCACAACGGAGTGAACACGGTGAGCCACGACCACCCAATGTCCTGGTCCACCTTCAAGCACACAAACACTAGACAGATACAGATGAAGGTTCGCCATTGGGAAGAAAGAGATGTTCAGGATATGGGGACGTACGGGGAATGAGGATGAAGAAACAGAGGAACACCGCGACGAACGAGAAGATGATGCATTTGCCCAACGGTCCGGACTGCGCGAGCGAGTTGAGCATCGCAGCCAAGAGCTCGTCGGGACGCAAGTCGCCGTACTGATGCACGAGCTTCACGCCGTCTTCGCCCATCATGTCGTAGATGTCACGCTGCTTTGGGTCGCTCAAAATGTCGTACGCCGCCTTCATCACGGTGAACTCCTCCTGCGCTTCCGGCGTGTTGCCGCGCTTGTCAGGATGCAACTGAAGCGCTTTGCGGCGGTACGCCTTCTTGAGCTCCTCCGGTGTCACGGTGGGAGCCACCCCCATGACATCGTACAGCTTCGTGTGCTTGGGCGCCATCGAAGTTGCCTGTGTTGGGTCGAGTAGTACGTGGGGATGATTCCGAAACGATTCCCCTATCGTGAAGTATGTGGGCAATTTCCTTCAAATTCAATTCCTTCGGATCCGTATGACTTGCAATTTGTATGGTATAGAAGGTTCAACACCATGAGGAAATATCCCCATAACCTAGCGAGGGAGTGCTTTTTACTCTATGCATATACCGATAGGTACAGAACCTAATACTTGTTTGTACATGGTGAACAATGCAAAGGTACTAAGACCAAACCAGCATGGCTGTTCTGCGTACATTTTGTAAGCGCATGTATGTACTGTTCATATAGCTGAATGTTGGTGCTTTCTACAAACATGCACTCATGTCCGACATTTCGTATTCTCTCCTAGAGTACTTTTTGGTAGCATATTGTCGAATGGTATTAGCCAATCCCAGATCAGCATTACCAACATGTGGAATGTGCTGGCTTTACGGTTTTACCCGCCCATAACAACCGGTTGCCCGTGCTATGGAGTTAGCATTCCTCACAATCCGTCATATTTCAGTTAGAATCAAGCACAAACTTATCTCTGCTGATAGCCTAATCATTCAAATGCTAACGTCTAGCTGAACTGGGCTAACTACGCGTCGACTAGCAAGCTTTGGTAGAATTCTTGAAACCCCGAAACCCCGGATTCGGATATTTCGGGCGGGTATGGGTACGGTTAAATATGGGCGGGCGGGTTTTGATGGGAACAGACTTCGTTCGCTTTACACCGAGTCCAACACCGTAAACTATCATCGGCCACCATGACGGAAATCTTCCAAGAGTACTACGACACGTTCAAGGAGCTTCGAAATGAAGCCATGGGCGTCATTCGCGCGATCCCTGATGCATCTACGTCGGAGAAGGGAAGCCTTGAACGAGAAGTCCGCAGCAAGCTGGACGAAGTCGAGCGGTACTTGCGTATTCTCGAGCAGGAAGGCAATGGTGGCGATGCCCAACAAAAGCGCAAGATGCAAACCCAGCTGCGGTCGTGCACGTCAGACATTGACAAGCTGAGAAACAACCTGAACAAGGCGTTGCTGGTGGGTCAAGCTCAGCAACGAGCGACCGCCGGCCCAAGAACCGGTCCCATGGACGCGCAAGGCCAGGCGGCGGCATACCAACAGCGAATGGACCGCACGGGGAACTACTTGCACGAAGCAAAGAACACGATCGGTGAAATCGATGCGATTGGCGCCAACATCAACAACAACTTGGCGCGGGACAGAGAAATCTTGGAGCGCGCGCGGGAGAACGTGCACGAGACTCGCGCCGACACGCAGGAGGCCGGCGCACACTTGAGCAGCCTCGCGCGCAAGACGTATGCGAACATTTTCGTGCTGTGGATTGTGATCGTGTGCCTGACGTTGGCCATTGCCATGGTCCTTCTCAAACGGGGTGGCGTTCTCTAAATTTAAACCTAACGTTATCCTTAAGTGCACAAAAGTATGGTCAAAACGAACCTAGCAAACGGCTATGTTGTATCGGATCGCAATCTGGACGCCGTGAGACTGCCATGTCATGGACTGGGTGAACCACGGGGACTTGATCCGTAAATGTTAGCAATATATGTCACGGAAAGCTGGACTAGAATGAAGAGGACATCCGTAAAGAGTCTGCTCAGTATGGATGTGCGTACTAGGGGTGGACCTGGTTGCATCTCGACCGAAAATCTCATGCCACGCTATCGCAGAGATGATGGTGTCATGAAGTAAGCCTAATTGTAGTACGATCTACTCTACGAACAACCAAGGGACACCCCACACTGATCACTTTCGTACTGCGTCGTACAATGGAAGGTCTGTTGCAGCTCAACGTAGCCGCTCTCGTGCTCCGGTGCTTCCACCCTTGGTTCCTTGTGGAGATGTAAGTACATGCGATGGCACCACACAGACTCCCCAGCCCACATCATGATTCACTACTCTGTGCATTCCCGCGGCACCTCCACACTGTACCTGCTGCCCAGCATCAAGTCTGGCCGCTGGGACTAACTTGGATTGCATTGCATTCTTGAAATGTCCCCTCGTTGGTGTCCACGGCTAAATTTGGTTACGGTTGACAAAATCACTTGATTTCAGTATACTTTGTCTCATGGGCGGGTTGGCTGGATACTTCAGTTTAGGATTCGCGTTCGAGCAGTCGCGCAAATTCATTCACCTCACGGACATGACGGAGAGCTTCCAGGAATACTACGACTCGTTCAAGGATGCAAGGAACGACGCTATGTCTGTGATCCGACGCATGCCAGATGCAACTGGCAGTGGCGAGAAGGCTGCCCTCGAGAACGACGCCAACTCGAAAATCAACGAAGCCGAACGGTACTACCGCATTCTCGAGCAAGAAAGTCGAGGGGGGGACGCGCATGAGAAGCGCAAGATGCAAGTCCAGCTGCGCTCGTGTCAATCTGACATTGACAAGCTCAAGAACAACTTGAACAAGGCGCTGTTGGTGGGCCAGGCCTCCTCCGCTCGTACTACTACCCAAACAGACGCGTCGGGGTACCAGCAACGTCTGGATCGCACGGGCGACCATCTCGCTCAAGCCACCGCTACGATCGTGGAGATCGAGCAGATTGGCGCCAACGTCGGTGAGACCTTGGCAAGAGATCGGGAACGCCTTGAAGCTGCGCGCGGCAACGTCCAAGAAGTCCGCGCCGACACGGACGAAGCGAAGGTCCACCTCGGAAGTTTGGCGCGGAAGGCGTTGAGCAACATTGTGTTGCTGTGGATTGTCATCTTGGGTCTTCTTGCTGCGATTGCGTATGCCTTGTACAATCGATTCAAGAAAAAGTAATCCCATGTCCAAATCGATCCGTAAACACTCACATTGCCATATATTTTCAATTAGATTCGAAAATATGTATTAAATATTTCAATCATGCTGTTAATCGACTGAAAATCGATCCACCAATCAAAACTCAGAATCCTGAGGCCAATCAAAAACTCTCTTCAATTTAACATTCAATTAGTGTGGGACTTATATTAGTGTGACCTGGACTCTTTTTACAAACATACTAATGAAGAGATCGTAAAACCCATTTATTTTAGCTGATCGACATGAAAACCATACGAAAGAAATAGGACAATAATATTGTGGATTCGCTATAAACTTCCAAAATTCGCCTCGATATTGAATCACGCCAGCGTTTTTGATTGGTTGAATATACTTGTCCTTTCTGAAGGAGCCAATCAAATCCACTCAAAAATGGATTAGCCAATAGCGTCGATTCGTGATTATTCGATTCGACGGGGTCTGGAAATTCGTGTCGAATATACCACAATAATACGTTTGCTTACACTAAATCAATGCATGCGTATCTTACTACTCGTCTACTACTAGTACTACTACTAAAGGTCTTCCACTGCTACTAGTTGCATCACACTATTTGTCCACTGCCCAGCAGCCAACATGATGGCGGCGTAATCATCGGGCGGGGGATGCACGCGGATGTCATCTACATGGAATGGAATGTGAAACGAGTCGCCCCCTCCAAACCCGAGCGTCAAGTTGCCCCGTTGAATCGCAAACGCCAGTAGGTCGTTCAAGTACAGCACCAACAGGTCTTCACACACGTCAAAGTTGGTCACGACCAAGCTAAATGCGACATCGTTCACCATGTGGCTCTTCCAGTCGACCGGTGTCGCATCCACGGCCGTGCCCACCATGTGATGTGCCGGTTCGCTCACGTTGCGATACAGTACGTCAAACTGGACGTGTCGCAGAAGCAGTTCAAACGGCAGTGGGTTGTGTATCGTCAAGTTGACATCCACACGCAACTCACACGAGTGAGTGGTCGAGTCGAGCTTCTTGAGCGTCGGGTCCACATCGTAATGGCGGAGGAACGCGGGCTTGCCGTCCACGGTGCCGGGTACATGGAACGTGTAGTGCATGTCGTTCCAAAGGCGCTGGGCAAAGCAAGATGACAGCGGGTCGTTCCCTTGAACGTGTAAGCGGACGTCGTCGCCGCGGAGGTACGTGGCCACGGCGTCCAAGAGCGGCTGCGAGTCGGCATGCCGCAGGTACGCAAACGAGTTCAAGTGGGTAGCCCCGCCCCCCAGAAGAAACCCGTAGAGCCCCGCAGACAACAGCACGGCCGTCGAGTTGTTTTGGCTGGTGGGGGGGGTATTTTGATGCTTCTGGAGCAGCTGAAAGCTCAAGTCTGGCAGCGCCCATTGCACTGGCGAAGCGTACTGGAACGTCACGTCTGTAAACAGGTACACGCCGTCCTTGTCTTGGTCGAGATGGCCTTGAGATAATGCAATCGATTGCAAGATGTCGTGTACCATCTGGCGCACGCGGGAAGCAATGTCAAACGTGTCGCCAATGGTGTTCGACGATGGATACGGACGGAAGAAGGCGCGAGTGAAGAGCGGCGACAAGGACAAGGATGACGACGAAGATGATGCGTCGTGGAGTATGTCGTGGATGTCGACTGTCACGGTGAATGGAACGATCAGGCACGACAGTCGGATGGGGACGGTGCCGACCAATGAAAGCGTTGACGACGGGGCATCGAAGAGCACGTGCTGCCATGTCGATGCGTTCGCGACGATGGAGAACGTGATGATCGAGGTCACGACGGACATGCCAGACGCGAGTGGAAACGCTGGCACATGGATGTCCATCAGTTGCGTGCCGTTGTTGGCGACCACAGCAACGGCAATGGGGCCGATCACGGGCTCGCAGAACGAAGGGTTACTGAACTGAAGGGACGCCGCGCCTAGAGATGTCTTGTTGCACACATCCGGCAAATGCAGCCGTTGCAGGGTTACCGTGGTGTCCTTGAGTTTCAGGACAAGGGTGACGAGCACCACACCGACACCGATAACGACAACGAGCAACACCAGTACGAGCATGATCCGACGACGACGGAGGACTTGGCACCATGTGGGACGCGACTGTCGAGCGGTCGCTCTCTTACGCGGCGTGAAATCCCTGGCTTCATCATCCTCCTCCAAGAGACTGAAGCCTTCGTCGGTGATGACTCCGCCCATGATGGGTTTCGCGATTTGGAAGTGGGATCTTGATTGCTGGTACTTGATTGGTCAATACTTCCAAGAATTCCAACGAATAGTATAATATTCATCTATCAGTGATTTCACGATATATTTACAACCAACAGTCCAGAAATTTTTTTTTTGACGGTTACGCTTTATGGTCACTCCGCACAGGATTGCGAAGCATGTTTGGGCATGTTGGCACGGATACTGCGGTACAGTACTTGGCGTTGAAGGAACAAGTCCTCGTCCATCTTGGCCAACGGCTCCAACAATGTCCATAACACACCCAGCACCACGAGGCCAACGCACATTAGCGGAAGCAACGACACCCCCATGACAAACCCAACCAACACCACCACACATCCGGCAAGGGAAAAGGCCGCGGACACCGCTTGGAGCACGATCAAAGCCACAGTACAGCCAGCGTTGAACAATGCATTGCGCAGCCACGTCAGTGGTTTGTGCTGCGTCGGAAGGATGGATGACGGGGATGCTTGTACTGGGGATGCGACATCAATGTAGTCATGGTTGTCGTCGATTACTGCGATGGCGACAGGGACGTCGTCGGTCGAAGCGGACGGTTTTAAGGTGGTTGTTGGAAGCATCTTGGCAAATGCCAAAAGGACACGCATGCTGCGTTAGGGTGTCCAACACATGTGTAGTTGTAGCAGCTATGTCCTGTCTGAGCACGGTTAACTGCAAGTCCATTGCACCAGACCAACATTACCTTGACATGTTAGCAGTACCACTTTCTTGTCTAACACACCTAATACAGTACTACAGTGTAACTGTAAATGCCACCGGTTAATAAGTACTACTAGTATACGTATAGTAGCATCAAAACTCAGGCAAATGCCAGACATGGCCGTGTTCCCATCATCAAGGCGCCGTCCCGATGTGGTGGCGGCGTTCAATGGTGGAAGACGAAGGTGGCGAATGAACCAAAATAGTACAGTACAGTTTGTACTTCGAAGTAGTATTCGATACTATTAGTATCATGTCACATAGAACAAAAAATAATAACTATTCAAACTATTCACTTTTAGAGTTTAACGTGTACAATTGTCCGGATATGACGTACGGATACAAATATGGCAACGTTTGGTCGCAAATATTCGATATGCCAATCAAATAATCGCGTCGAGGAAAACTCTACCATGTTTGGACGGGAATTGTGTGCCTTTAAAGAATACTACATAGTACAAAAATATTTTTCATGGCAGTCTGAATAAATATATTTGTACAAAAATAGATACTTTATTCACAACGATTATATTTTTCGCCATCCCTGCATGTTTTGGTTCTCCGAAAGAGAACCGTTATGAATCATGACCATTTTGTTGAGGTGTGCACAGGTCGATAGGCCCCTTGAGTCACTCTGTTCGAACGATGTGGACAGCAATAATCATTGTAAGCACGAATGCCATATCATCACTAGCCATCACGAATATAAATAGTAGTAGTAAAACTTATAGTATACTACTACTAGATTCATAACAAAAAACCAATTTTAAAAAAATAACACTGATTTCTCTCCCAGTTTCGAACGGGCTATTTTCGATAATTTTTACTTCGAAGTATAAACTAATAATATACGAAATCGAGGTTTCTTCAATGGTTGTCTCATCGTGTGCGCCGCCAACTCGAATCATCTACGCCATCAAGGCCCAGGAATGGAGGTACGCTCAGCATACTTATAATCATGGTCCATTTCGATCTCGAGGAGGGTGCCTTAGGAGCACGAGCGGCAGTATCAATCGTTACTTGATAAGCGCATGTTAGAGTCATCTTACAAGTGGCCAATACCATGTAAGCTTATGTTGAGGAATGTAGGCCTTTCAACTCGAGCTTGCCAATACGAGCTGCAAAATGGGACGTGTGTACATTACAGTAGCATCGTAACGATTCCAAGTCAGCCACATTGACGAACCCTCAGCAAATTTCTCCACTAACGTTAACGCCTAATATTCCGGTACAACGAGCCAGGAACCGCACCGTAATAACAGTAAAGAAACATCACTTAATTCTGCCCAGATACTGTAGCATGACTTGATTGTACTTTTCATACCCCATGTTTCGATCAGTCAAGCAACATCGAGTGCATAGCCATGCACAAGTAGTGTTCCATAAAAGTATAACCGCAAAACTTAATATACTGTGCAAATTGTTCAAACTTGGCCGTTTTAAACAGGAATCAGCACATCTAAGCCAGTTTTCATGTTCAACGCCAACTTTCATATCTCGCCTATTAATAGTACATGTAGGTGGCATCCGACATCAAACCGACAAATTTGGAGCCGATGATTGGATAACCGACAACTTTTTGAATTTTGATTGGTCAGATATTTTATAGGCAATCTGATTGGGCGATGTAGTTGTCGGTTGAGCAACATATCACTCACATATAACATATACAGCTTGCTATTGGCTGAAAACACAGTAGTATCGACATACTCTGGAACACATGACCTCGACTCAGCATCCCAAGAACAGAAATACGTAAGAGCATCCCCACCGGCTGATGTAAACATAGAGCTGAAAAGACCCGTTTATTGGGTGCGTGCTGTAACAGTAGTACATCACTTCACAGCCAATCCACACCGGTTGGCGGAAATAGTAGTCCTGATGGCGCAAATTCGTGTTGGACGCCCGCTGGCGATTGAGGTTTTGGAGCTCTCGCCAGTGGAGAATCTAGTGCAGCAGGTTGGCGTACATTCTATTGTCTGTAAGATTCAT